TTCAGTGCCTTGCAGAGCTGACTCCAAAGTAGAAATGGGTTAGGAATGGATCCCAAGCTAGGACTCAGAAGAGATGAAGAGCTCAGGAGCTGCAAAAGCTCTGACATCACTAAGCACTTAAGGCCAGGACATTATTTTAGTGGCACTAGCCCAAGGCTGTTTGAAATGCAGCAAGGTACCGACCAGTTATCCGTTTGACTGAGCAATGCCATTAAAATGCCTACAAGTATAATAATGTTCTGCAAGTTGGGGATGTTGATTTCCCAAATATGTTTCTTTCCCCCAGGGTATTCGCGCTACCTGCAAAATGGCAAGCATCAAAACCTGGAATCTGCAGGCACCATAAATAAGACTTAGGGGGAAAAAACCAAAACAAAATAAAAAGATTATCTCTACCCAGTCCTAACAATCTGCACCTGTCTGTACCTAACGGTGATCCTCGACTTACAATCATTTGTTTACCAACTCTTCAAAGTTAAAACGGCACTGGAAAAAGGGAATTTGCGACTGGTCCTGGCAATTAGGGCTGTTGCAGTATCTTTGCAGTCACATGATCAAAATTTGGGCATGTGGCAACAACTGGCATGCATTTACTATGGTTGCAGCATCTTTTCTGACTGAGGCTTCCCAAGAGCATGAAGCAAACTCCTTGTCCCGACAAAAAAACTTTTATTAATTGACCGTGAATTCTGCTCGCTCACATCCAACAAAGTCTTTCAAGGGAGGATTTACAGTCACAGAACTTATCTGGCTTGGAGAGCTGCCAGGCTGATATCTGAAAAACTTGGCAAGGAGTCTCGGAGAGTCACGAACCAATTAAGTGAACTAATTGTCTCCTGCAAACTCCACTCCCCTTTTGCTCCTCTTTTATTTCCTCTGGGAGGGGCCATTCATCTGTGGCCTTATTCCCAAGTCGACTCCTGTTCTTTAGCTGTTCCCTTTGTCTGGCAACTCTGTGCATGTACACACTGGGAACAGGCTCCAGTTGCTCATCTGCCTCATTGATGTCTGACTCTGAAGGCAGCTGATTACTGGCATACAGCTCTGGCCCCCTCTCTGCCTCCAACACAGAGCCCTCATCAGAACCTTCCCCAGACTCCAGGACTGGCCCATGTTTCTCCCCAACCTCCTCACTATCTGAATTTGCTGCCAGCTCCACTGGCCACTGGTGGGCTACAACAACATCCTGGGGACACTGGATTCTGATTTGTGACCTTCCCAGTTGGTTTCTGACAAGCAAGTCAAAGAGGGAAGCTAGATTTGCTGAAAGACTACATGATTCTCTGAACAGCATGGATTCTTTTAACAAGGATGGCGAAAATGGTCAAAAAATTGTGCACGACTCACTTAGCCACTGCCTTACTTAGCACTGGAAGTACCAGTTCTAAAAGTGGTTGTAAATCGAGGAATACCTATATTTAGGTATTAGTTTAGTGGGGGTTGCTGAAAAGATATCCTCTTCCCATCCCTTCAGGAACCATCTTTAAAGCAATTGAGGGCTGCAAAGAATCCAATCATTTGTATGTATTTAGAAGTGCATTCTTTTGTCTGTCCTCAAATGCCCTCCCCCCCTTCAGTTTTATGGCACCAGGACAGCTGATACTCAATGAAAACAATTCCATTAATGCTGCTGAGTATGGCTGCCTGTCTTATGTACATAACCTTGGGCAGCTCAGCTTTTATTACCCTAGTCATAAAAAGATGAAAGAGCCTTCAAAAAAGTCCAGCACTCCAAGAACAAGGACTTTTTCAAACATCAACATTCACATCACATGTACAATGATTTCTAATAAAAACACTTCTGAATTTTATGGGGCTTATTCCCCCCCACCAAACAATACAAGTTGTTGCCCAATTTTTATACAGTTCTTGAGTTGGGAGAAATACCTTTCATACTCCTTAGGAGATTGATAGGCACCATCGTTGGGTGTCCAGTCCAAACAACCACAGAGTTCTGGTCCCACTTTAGGCATGAAATCTGGGTGGATGACTTTGGGCCATCCTAACCCATCACACAGAGTTGTGGTTGTGGAGAAAATAGGAGGCAGGAGTATGAGGTATGTTCACTGCTGTGTGTGTGTGAGAGAGAGAGAGAGAGAGAGACAGACAGACAATGTATATATCATATGTATGTAAATACATAAATAAAATAGATGTTCTCCAATGCCACAGGACACAGGTACACATAATCCTAGCTAATCCGTACAAGATGTATAACCATCAGATAAAGAGTCAATAACTGTCAGATATAAAGAGCAGATGCACTTTATATCTGACAGTTTTTACCTTACAAAGGAGGTTGTGTGTGTGAGGCCGAGGCCCTTTTGCCATTTCATGGTTCAGGATTGCATTTTGCACATCCAAAACATCAGTTACTCAAGCCAGGTTAATTTCAGAATGTGATCAAATCCCTTCTGAGCCCCCTTCTAAACTGTGAGGCAAAAGCATCATGGGGAGGATCCTATCTTTACTCCCCACCATCTCCAGAATAAACCTCAATGACCTCAAAAGGCCTTATGAATACCTTGTGCAGAAGCCCTGGTAGATGGCAGGCTCCTTGCACTCCTCGGGTTACAGTACTTTATCATGAGCTAATACTTAATTATGATTATTTTCAATATGATTTCTCTCTCTCTCTCTCTCTCTCTCTCTCTCTCTGTGTGTGTGTGTGTGTGTGTGTCTAGATCAGTGTTTCTCAACCTTGGCAACTTGAAAATGTCCAGACTTCAACTCCCAGAATGCTGGCTGGGGAATTCTGG